CAAATGACGTCGTATACAGTTTAAATAACTTATCTTCGTAACATGTATGTATCGCTAATCCTTTCAGCTGACCACATATCATTGTAATCATGTCGCGATGATAACCAATTTATCAATGATTAAATAGACATACGTAAATACGAAATATGGTAGTACTCGTATAAATGGAAAATTAAATGAATTATGTATAATGTATAATTTAAAAATATAAAATAAAAATTACATAATAATCTTGAAAAAAAATTACCCACTTTATGTTAAAATTAAACGGTGTTCTCATAATTCTCATAGTTTATACACATTAATACGAAAAACAATGTTGACTATAAATCTTATTAAGTTACATTCGAACACAGTTACCAAGTACTTCGATGGAAAATGTGCTGCGTATTTTCAAGTTACTCCATCGTTGGGGAAAAATGAATCAATTTAAATGGTGATTGTGTAGAAAAATAGTAAAATATATCTTATTTATTGTGTAAAAGTTTAAAGTAATAAATTAATTTTTCATTATTCAGTATATTTTTGTAACTTATTTATCGGACAACCTACGTATTTCAAAACAATACAACTTAAATACAGTACAATGATTTCGGATTAAAAAAAAATCATTACCATAAATAACTATACATTTGAAATCATAGCACATGTACAAATTATGACTATCATAATATGAACTTTACTTATCACAATAATATACATATATATACCTATAATACCTAACCTGATCACACAATTTTAAGACAAAAACTTGTTATGAATGTTTTATAATTTATACTCTTTACCTCTTTACTTAAGTTAATTTCAGTATAGGTAATAAAATAATAAACGAGAATTGGCAGATATTAATTACAATTGATTAAGAAATTATTTTATTAAGTTAAGCTTATTTTTATATCAACATATTCTTTGGAAAAATAAATTATGTATTTGTTATTTGTTTGACATAATAATTTATATTATAGTCTTGAATACAATTTTTTAATATAAATGTACTTTTTATATTCGAAAAAAAAAGTAAAATATGTCATGCTTAAGATTTACCATTTCAAGTAAGAATGACACCGACTTATGATTGCTACTCAGATACGACATAATTTTTTGCTCATATGCATTTCTTAACACATTAAACGCCAACGTCAACGCGTCGTTGACATGACTAAACGGGCGCCCGTGGCCAATGTCAATACGTCGTTGATACAAATAGCCGGGCGCCCATAGCCGCACAGTGGTCGGAAATTCAATTTTAGCTGGACAAAATGGAAAAATAGTAGGATAAAAATAAGATATATTTCACTTGATATTATATCTACTATACTATATAGATTAACATTTATTAGCCTTTGGGATGCAAAGCGGCGATAAGCACTTTAAAAACACGATAAGAGTAGAAATATATAGATAAAATGTATGATATACGGTTGATTGAAAGAATATAAATTTATTTCTTCACCGGCTGTGTTTAAAGTATATTTACGTTTTAGCAAGAGTCAAACCAGTAAATATTATTTAAAAATGGACTTAAATTTAAATGGTAAGTAAAATTTAAATTCATATGTTATATTCTGTTATTAAATACATACTGTATATATATTGCATTACTATTTAAAACTTTCATTAGTAATTTTTTTAAATTGGAAAGAAATTATATATAAACGATCTAAAATGATCATACAAATAAATATAGGTCTTATACCACAACTTCTTACCTTTTCAATGAAATAATTTTAATTTGCGTCGAGTTGCTTCCGTAATTAATATAATGGATTTCCCTAAACATTTTTGTGATTCAACAGTTATTATTATTATATTTCAGTTAGAAATAAATATATTCAAATCGTGTACAATAATTTGTTCTTATGCTTAAGAAGAAAAGGGCCCCTAGATCCAAGAATTGTGGAGTCTAACCGACATTTACTTCAATATATTAAAAATATATATAAATATAATAATTGGGAAGAGACATATGAAAATTTAATTTTACAAAAAATTTCCAGTTTCATAGCTGTTTTAAGTAAATTTTGGATAAAAAGCTTACAGAATGTGCACAGATTTAGTGAATACAACATTGATTGGTTAAAAAAAATATTTGTTATGCCACCAATAATACCATTGATACCACCACCACCAACTTCACTGCCATCAACATCAAATGTCGGCAGACCTCAAAAAGTGTTTTCCGATTGTTCTGATAGAAGTAAAAGACGTAAAGTTCTACAACTTACTAAATCTTATACTTAACCGGAAATTTTATTTGCCGCTAAAACTAAATTATATAAATCTGGAAAACGAGCAGTTCGTAGTATAGTAAATGAATCGTTATCCTCTCCAACTCGAGCCTCAAAAATTAAAAAAACATACATGTCTTCACTATCAATTAACAATGCTATCATGCCATATTCTTCTGGCGAGGCCTTAGTATTTCTCATAGATAATAAATTAACGAAACAACAATATACCAATATTCATAAATCAGCTATAGAACGTAAAGCAAATATTTACCCGAGTTACGATAATGTTATAACGGCCAAAAAAAAAAAATGCTATCCACCAAATATTCAAGTTACAGAATATTCTTTTAAAATTAAATTGCAGCACCTTATTGATCACACTATCCAGAGAATATTTTTAATTTCGGATATACCAACCATAGATTTAACGATGAGCAATTTTGAAATATTATATAAATGGAGATGTGATGGAAGCCGTAGTCAATCTCGAAATAAGCAAATTTTTCATGCATCTAATGACTTAGATGACTCCGATATCTTTATGTTTTCACTGGTTCCTTTACAGCTGAGATGTACAAAAATAGACAATCCTAGTAATGTAGTTTTATGGAAAAATCCCCGTCCATCGTCAACCCGTTATTGCCGTCCGATAAAATTCGATTTTAAAAAGGAAACTATTGAGTCGACATTAGAAGAAGTAAATGCTGTCCAAGAAGAAATTAAATTGTTGATTGATTCAAACTCAAATTTTTAAAAATGACATTGAATTTCAAGTACAGAGCATATTAATGTTCACTATGATAGACGGAAAAGTAAGTTTCATAAACTTTTATTACAATTAATTACTAAATAAATTATCTTATATTTTAGTTCAGTCTAAAATTATAGACACATTATTGCAACCGACGAAAACTATCAAACGAGTTTTTTTAGGTTTGCAATTCAATAGCTGGTTCATCAAGCCAAAAATGCTATATCTGCAAGTGTTCTACAAAAGATATGAATGATATTACCCGAACAAAAAATTTAAATGTCCAACCTGAGTATTACGAATTTGGATTGTCAACACTTCATGCGTATATACGACTGTTCAAATGTCTTTTACACATTTCATACAGATTGGAGTTCAAAAAATGGTAGGTTAGTATAATGACTAACGAATATAATGAGCAATGGCTATTTAGTATAAATGAAAAATATGCGTGTTATGACTTCCAAATATGTTATTTGTGAATAGGTTCGGTCAGCTGAAGATAAAATTATTCATGCAAAAAGAAAAAAATATATACAATACCGATTTAGAATAGAAACGGGTCTTCTTGTAGATGTAGTTTTGCAAGGTATATTACTAGTAATATATAATCAATGGTATTATTTATTATAAGTTCATTCAATTTCAGATTATAATTTTTAATATTAAATTTTATTTTTTCATAATATAGGCAAAAGAACGATTAATGACGGTAATACTTCTCGTAGATTTTTCAAAAACGCCGAAATGAGTGCTGGTATAACAAATATAGATTTACAACTCATACAACGATTTGGAATAATTTTAAAGACAATGGCAAGTGGTTATGACATTAATTTAGAGAAGTTTGAAGCCTATACTTTGCAGACTGCGAAACTTTTTGTATTATTGTACCCATGGTATTACATGCCTGCTTCGGTTTATAAAATTTTAATTCATGGTACGGACGTAATACGTTTTGCTTTATTACCTATAGGTCAGTTTTCATAATATTCGAAATTTTAAGGATGATTACATAACATAAAAAAACAAAGTAACAAAAAAAATGTTTATTTTATAGGCCAGTTGTCGGAAGAGGCGCAAGAGGCCCGAAATAAAGATTTCAGAAATATAAAAAAAAATAATACACGCAAAACAGAGTCTCACTAAATGAGGATTTAGCTCATATGCTACTTGTGTGTTAGGACCCCTACATTTCTAGCTTAAAAAAAATTCAAAAATCAATGTGAAACCGCTGGATAAAGATATGAGAGCTCTAATAATAATCGACTTTGACGAAAATAATAACTCCGACAATAACAGTGACGATGACAGTGATTCCGAATAAAATAATGTATTATTATAGTCAGAAAAAATACATTATTTATTATAATTTTAATAATTAAAAGTTAAAATCCTTTCATTTTAGTACATTTTCAACACATATCTAGCTTAATAATTATTTAAATATACATTTAATAACATAAAGAAAACATAATGTAAATAAAATAATTTTGTCCGTCTAAAATTGCATTTCTGACCACTGTGAGCCGGTGTCAATACGTCATTGACATGCAGTAACCTGTCCGTTCTTGTGACTTTGTGGAGCCGGTTATAGCCGTATACATTTGAAATTTTCGTCGGTCGTTCATTAGCCTATAGTTCATTACGTGGAACAGTTGGTTTTCATTTTTCGTGATTTTTATATTTTATCTGTTATATGAAAACAAGTGAATAAAAGGTAAGTTTTATTTTTATTTTACCTACGTTCATACATTATTTTCATATTTTGATTATTGTATTATAATATACCTACTAATACATTAATATTCTTTATACAGTAGATATATATAATCATAATATTATATATCAATTTATATTTTTTTTTAAAAAAAAATAATTTTTCACAATTTTCGGATTTTTTTTACAATCATAAATTATAATTATATATTATCGATAAATACTTATGACCTTCTTTAGTCGTAAAATTGCGTAAAATATAAAATATTATCAAACTTAAATAATTTTTTTTAAGAAAAATGGGCAACCCAATGACTGACGAAGAATTATTGCTTATGTTGGAAAATTCAGATGATGATTTCGGCTTAAGTTCTGGTACTGATTTAGGGGAAGGAGATTCTGGTGATGATGATGCCGATCCAGAATGGAAACTTCCAATAGTACAACGCGAAGAGGATAATCAGATAATATCAGATGTACCTATTATTTCCACATCAGGTTATACATGGAGTAATAAACAACCTTTAGTGACACGTATCCCTTTTTCAAAATCCAAAGAATTTAAGGTTTTTCCACAAGGAAATGAGCCAATTGATTATTTTAATCTATTATTCGATGATAGACTTTTTGAGTTGATAGTTAACGAAACTAATAAATATGCACTTCAAGTTTTTTTATCTGGATCTGGAGGTTCATCATCTCGAATCACGGCGTGGAAACATACAAATATACAAGAAATGAAAGTGTTTATTGGTTTACTGTTTCATACAGGGTCTATACGAGTAAATCGGTTGGAAGATTATTGGAAGACAAGTGAGTTATTCAGTAAAAATTTTTTTCGGCAACATATGAACAGAAATCATTTTATGTTAATTGTAAGAAATTTACATTTTACTGACAATGAAAATCACGACAATAATCGCCTGAATAAAATTGAACCATTAGTAAAATATTTCGATAGTAAAATGTCAGATATTTATGAAGCTTCTGAAAATTTGGCACTCGACGAGTCAATGGTTTTATTTCGGGGTAGATTAGTTTTTCGGCAATACATTAAAAATAAACGCCAGAAGTATGGTATCAAACTTTACATGCTCACAGAATCTAGTGGGTTGGTTCATAGAATTATGATATATTCTGGGCAAGGGCAAGACACGTCGAATGACTTTACTCATACAGAGTATGTTGTTGTAAAAATAATGGAAGGCCTGACTGATTGTGGCAGATCATTGTACATGGACAACTATTACAATAGTGTGAAATTAGCTCATATACTTCTAGCTAAAGGAACATATTGTATAGGAACTTTGTGTGCGAATAGAAAAGGGAATCCTAAAGAAATAACTTCAAAAAATTAAAAGTAGGAGAAAATGTTGGAAAGTTTACTAGGTAAGGTGTACGTGTAATGAAATGGCAAGACAGACGAGAAGTTTTAGCAATAAGCTCTGAGCACACAAATAATTTAGTTGAATTTAGTTGAAGTAACTAACAGAAAAGGTGAACAAAAATTGAAGCCGATGGCAATTTCTCTGTACAATAAATATATGTCAAGAATTGATAGACAAGACTAGATGTTATCATACTATCCATGCGAGAGAAAAACAATAAGGTGGTACAAAAAGATTGGTATTCATTATTTTCAAATATTTTTGCTGAATTCCTACTACTTATACGTAGAAAACGTAAAAAAATGTAATCTGTATGATTTTAGACTTTCTGTAATTACGGCATTAGTAAAAAGTCAAATAAACATAAATGTTCCTCCTGTACTTCCTCCAAAAATAACAAACTCACACTTTCCTACGAAAGTTGCAAAAAACGAAAAAAAAAAAATTGTTATAGAAAAAGATGCAAGGTGTACCATTCAAAAGACATACGAAAAACAACAATATTCTACTGTTCCAGTTGTAAAGGTCAACCTGGTTTATGTCTTGAAAACTGCTTTGAAATTTATCACGCATAATCTAGTAAGTTTTTATTTATTTTATAAAACATAATAAGTTTCATTATTATTTTACGTATTCATTTTTATTTTTATACTCAGTAAAAAATTTGTTTTGTTTTATTTTTAAAATATATTTAAAGTTTTGTTCTTATTTTATATTTATGTATAGTGTTATTACTATACAAAGTGTATAATTTCAAAATAAAGGATGTTTTGTTTTATTTTTTAAATATTTTTAAAGTTATGTTTTTATTTTATATTTATTTTATATTTAAAGTTATGTATTTATTTTATATTTATTTACTGTGTTATAATTATACAAATTATATAATTTTGAGGTAAAAATTATTTTTTTTGTTTTAAATATTTTGAAAGCATAATAATAACTTATGATTATAATTTATGTATTATTAGTAGTTATTTGAAAAAAAAAATTAGAAACTCCTTACTCTTATAAATAACTAAGAACGAGCGCCCATGGCCGGTGTCGACGCGGTGTAGACACGCGCGAATTATACCATTTATACGCGCGGCTACAGGCGCCCGCATGTCAATCGACGGCGGCAACCGGCGCGCGCACGTTGAATCGATGTTGGCGTTTAACGTGTTAAATAAAACTTGTGGAACTATTCCAAGCACTTAGCTTTACTACGAATAGCACCCGCTGGGACACACATAGAATTTTTGATAATCTTAGTTTCAAACATTATATTGTTTTGAATGTACTTTGTAAACTTGTTTCATGGTGTACACTACACATAAACTTTATACGAAACGTCAAGCATTAAAAATGTTTAAGGTGTAAATTTATAACTATAATGATCATTGATACATTGTATATGTAGGTTGAAAACCTTTAAATTAGAATATTATCAGTGTTTACCATATAAATTATAAGAAAGGAAAAAAAAATACACATGTGCAACTTTGAGCTTTATAATCAAGCATCTGTGTTATTATTTATTATAGGACTGCGCGTGTATAACTATCTAAAATTATACATAATTATTTAATGGATATGCCCTGATATCCCTAATAGCCTCTTAAACAATTTGTTTTGTTATTTCTAATTAAAATAGAATATCATTAAATTAAATGGAGTATATCTACTAAAATATGAATAGAACTGTGGACATAACGTTGCTAACAAATAAATGTAGAACAATACTACTCTGGATAGTACCTAATATGAATTAACTTAATGTTCAATAGTTGGTATTTTGGATTCCTATAGTTATTAATTAGTGCTTAATGAAATACATATCATATTTTCATATAGTTTCATAATGTAAAAGGATAAAATTTAACAACCGTCAATCCATCTTACATTCTTAATACTTAAATATAAAATATTTAATCATCAAACAGATAAATGATAAATCACATTTTATATTCTTGAAAAATGTATATCCATACTACTGTAGGTACCAAAAGTATTAAAAAAAAAATATTAAATTGTATAATTTTAATACTTCATTAAAAAAAGAAAAAATTAATAAATAAAAATGTCCTTCGTAACAAAAATAATAATAAATATTTTATAGTAGAACAAATATCAATATCAAAAAAACAGTTACCCAAATTTTTGGTAGGTAAAAAAACCCTTGAGTATTTACCCGATACATACCAATATACTGACATACCCACCGGGTATGGTACATTACTAATTATTATATATTCATTATATTACCAATACATATTCAATAGAATAACTTTACTAAAACATTATTTTTTTATATAGGTTTTTTCTAGTCACAAACAATGCGGAAATCCTAAAGATTATGTATTTATTTAACATTATAGTTAAAATTTAAAACCCACATAGAAAGAATCGCGGCCCTCCACAATGTCACAAAAGCTGCAAACGAACTGCGTCCCGTAGCAATAATTCCTTCCGAATTGCGTCCTGAGTATTTTTGGGGGATATACTAGTTGCGTCCCGGTTATTTTTTTTGGGTCATACTAGTTGCGTACCGATTTTTTTTCTGAGCGCATACCAATCGCGTCTTATATATTTTAAAAACCAAACAATATTTCTCTTCTTATTCCATTTGTATATAGACTTAGGACTGTCTGTAATAATAATTACTACTACAAGTTTGTTAAAAGTATTGTTTTTACTTTTTGTCTTTTTGTATTATTATTGTATTATTGCATTTGTAATCGTAAACGTATAAAATATTATGATTATTGCCTATTGGTAAAAATCTATTATTTTTGTATGTATTTTGTAATATTAACTGCAGTAAAAATGTAAAAGATAACTTTTTTATGAATTCAAATTTATTAATTTGTATAGATTCAAAATCTGCCATTGCCTGATTTAAACATTTTTTATTATTAATTATCGAGGTTGTATGGTTGTAAATGCTTCATTATTTTATTTAAATGCAATTTTGTAACCTCTACATCTAGTATCGATAAATTTAAAAAATGTTTGCATAAGTAATAGGGACACGGTTCAGCAGTAATCAAGAAAAACCTAAAACCCAATTAGTATTACAATTTTTTATACCTTTTTATACGGGACACAATTCGTAAGCAGCGGCCACAATTGCCAGTTATACGGCCACACATAAAATTATTGTGGTCACGTTTCGCGCTGTGTCAAATTTTGGAAAATCATCATACCAATGAGCGTACCAAAAATCATTATATTTCTGCTAAATGCACCTCTAGCTCATGGGACTACACAACCAATTACAGAAGATATGCGTCATTCAAAAACATTTTCAAAAGAACCTCATCAAAGTTTCCATCAGTCAAGGTTACTGACTACCATAATCAATCGAAAATCAAAACTCATGTGGAAGCTACAATGAATGAAAACACATCCATATGGAATATATCTTTGTTATTTCTTCCAATTCATCTCTAACCGGAATACCGTAATCAGTCCATTGATTACATTACTTTCCTCTGTTCTAAAAAAATTCGTAGTCAAAAATATTAACTGAAATTTTTCTTTTTTTCAAATATCTCTTTCTATTATGTAAACTATTTATGATTATATATATATTATTATTACCTATTAATTAATTACGGTATTATAATATACACATAATATTTTGTTTTTATGACCTTTACTGATTATTACTGATATATATATTTTATTTCACGATTGTGTCAATATTTTGTTCATTATAAATAATAATTATTGAGCTATCATAGTTCATACTGAAAGCTATAAATAAAAAATAAAAATAATAATTAAAAATTGTTTCTTAAAGAAATAAAATGAATCATTACATTTTACTCAGAGTATAAACATTTTCAGTTCAGTTAATGAAAACTTTAATTTATGTTTTTACTTGTTATTGAACTAAAATTTAACACTGTCTACAATGCTGATATCAAATAATAATTTATCATATAATAAAAAGAAATTTTTTAAGTAGTAATTTTTTTATATATATATTTCATAGTTTATAAAAAAAAATAATTAATTTAAGTATAAAGAAATCTAAAAAATAATCATCATTTTTACAAGCTATTACAAGACTGAGTAGAAAATAGCCTAACAGTATAATACAAATTAAAAATTAAAACAATAACATGCCATAAATTAAACAAGAACCATAAAATACTTTACGAGCTTTAGACTGCGGTCACAGTGGCACCGACGTCGGTCGGCCGATAGTTTTCGTCAGACGTCTGCCGATCTTATCGGCCGATAGGATGGTCACAGTGCATCAGACGTCGGCCGATAAAATTGACAGGCAGTTGTTCATTTCAATGCAATGAGTACAGTTTATAATTTATAAAATGGATGTCCCCTCATTTTTGAGTTTAGAAACAAGTCCTGCTATTAAATATTTATTATTAAAAAAGCGAAAGTTTCACATGAATGACATTTTTAAGGATAGGGAAAAATTGCATACATTGTTTCACCAACTATTGGAACAGAAGGAAGATTTTTTCAGTTATATGAGAATGACTAAATCAACTTTTTACTATATATAATATAATATTTTAAAATAATATTTGGGTATGGACTGATTACGTCGGCGTAATCGGCCGATTCGGTCGGAGGCACTGAGACCACTTGTATAATAATTACTTTATTTAAAATGATCGGGCGAGTTTCACCGACATCGGTCGTCGGTCGAATCGGCCGACATCGGTGCCACTGTGCCACTGTAAAACAACATTTTTTTCAAAAGTTTAAATGTTATTTACTGAAATTTATAAATTAACTCTAGAGTTTGAAAATTCTTTGAAATTATTATGAATATTATAAACCAAATCAATCCTTTTCAAAATACACAAATCGATAGAAAATGTTGAATTTCAATCGAAGCAATATAATAATTATCTTTATAGGTAAATAAAATAAATATTTCTCTTCATGTGATAAATTCGTTAAATTAAAAGGAAGATATAACTGTAAAACATTTTTAACGATACGAGCAA